GGTCAGGAGAATGCGGAACAAACTCTGATGCACCCAGACAGACCACGGGATAGTCTACGGCGGTCCGAATTGATGAGGGAGCTCTACGTGCGCACTAACTTGGGAAAATGTCCCAGATCTGTGGTTGAGTAAAACGAAGCAAGTAGCAGTAGCATAAATGATGTATATAGAATAATTCCCATGCACTTTCCATAGATGGTTATGTATGTGTATCTAGGCAAAGGGTAGAGAAGGATCTGAAAGAGCATATCATATGAAGTTTATACTGCTGAACGCTGTTAAGTCCTGGTGTGGGGAGTTGGTGAAGAGTTTGGGAATGTGGGTAGAGGTCAAAGATCATTTGTAATTCTGGGTTTTGGTCACAATTAGAATGTAGTGGAGGATGCCGTTTTGCAGTAAAGTGATGCTCATGTCCCTAGGCCTCAGTGAGCACCTAGGGTGCACCTCTCGCTGTGTTTGTCAGCACCTTTCTCTGGGCCAGGCACCGTGCTGTGCACCCAGTGGTGAGGCAGAAATCGTGTTCCGCCCTCTCTTCGTGCGTATCGGGTAGAGAAGTGCACATTGAACAAGTGCTTACAAGCACAACAGACGTGGGAAGACCAACAGGAGGCTGTGCATTGGGCGTTGGGGATGCCTGGCCTGGAGACTGGGAGGGGTTTCCCCGAGAAGCTGACCCTGAGCTGTGATTCGGAGGTGAGTAGAGGAACTGGCTACCCCAGGTGTGGCTGGGGCAGGAGTGGGACAAGAAGGAAAGCAGGAGAGGAAGGAGGGCAAGTGGCCTGGGGGTGGGGGTGGAGGGGCGGCGGGGAGCAGCCTGTGATTAGGGGCTGGAGGAATGGGCTGCGGGCAGCCAGCCCAGGGCCCCACGGGCCAGGTGAAGGATTTGGATTCTGTCCTGGGAGCACTGGGAAGCCATCAAGGTTCTTAAGCAGATTTGCATTTTAATAAGATCTCCATTTGCTCTGAGGAGCATGAATTGGAGGGGAACAAGAATAAAGGAGGGGGACCCGTGAGGAGGCTACTGCAGAAACCTGGGCACAAGATCAGGTTGGCTTGGATTAGGGGAGAGTGCATCAGTGGAGAGGAGAAGTGAGGGCTTTGAGCGGCATCGCGTGCCACTCCTGTGAGTGATCCTGGGAAAGAATGGGTCCTACTGAGTGTTTGCACTGTCTCGGTCAGCTGGCATGATGACAGAGGGAGGCACCGGGCAACCAGGTTAATCCCACTTGGAGGATAAGGAAATAGGCTCAGTGGTATTAAAAATAAAAGTGGTGCCCTGGCTGGCATGGCTCGGGGATTAGAACATCGATTCCAGACAAGGGCATGTACCTGGGTTGCAGGTTCCCCGCCCTAGCTGGGGTGCACTGGGGATGCAACCAATTGATGTGGCTCTCTCACATCAATGCTTCTCTCTCTCTCTTTTTCCCCTCCCTTCTACTCTTTCTAAAATCCAGGGGGAGGAATATCCTCCAGTGAGGATTAACAAGAAAGAAAGAAAGAAAGAAAGAAAGAAAGAAAAAGAAAGGAAGGAAGGAAGGAAGGAAGGAAGGAAGGAAGGAAGGAAGGAAGGAAGGAAGGAAGGAAGGAAGGAAGGAAGGAAGGAAGGAAGGAAGGAAGGAAGAGAGAGAGAGAGAAAGAAAGAAAGGGAGAGAGAAAGAAAGAAAGTAAGAGGTGGGTAAGTTGGATAAGGAAGATGCATCCGGGATGTGCTCCTCACTCAAGTGTCCCGGGCCCCAGCCTGTGCCCCTGCGTCCAAAGCCCGTCTACTCACTGGTGTGCAGCCAGCTGGTGAAGGTCAGCGAGCAGTTCTGCACATCGAAGGGGAAGTTGTAGATGTCGAGGCTGCAGGCAGTCACCACCTGGAGGGGCTTGTAGTTCTGCACCTCGCCTTGATGCCCGACATACACGTACGGGATATCTGGAGACTTCCCCACGTCCACGCTGTCCAGGGGAGAGGGGTCAGCTTGGGGCTCAAGAAACAGGTCAGGCCTGGGAGTCTGAGGGTCTCTGAGCAGCCAGCAGGAGAGAAACCCAGGGAGGAGCTAGGGCAGCAGGACAGTGTTGTCTGGAATTGATTTTTCTAAGCTTCCTATCTCCCTTAGGTCTCCTTACCTGCATCAACACTGCTTTCCATGCATTCCTGAGTAAAGGCATTTTTCCTCTATTTCCCTGGCAATCTAACCACAAAAGGCAGGCAAGGATCCCTGGACCCCAAATGCCGCAGACGCTAAGGAGCATGCCCAGCTGTCCCTACACTGCCACCCACTGGCTGGGCAGAGCTCAGTTCCCAGGATGCCCTCCCGGTGTGGCAATGGGCAGGTTTGGTGGGTTCCATCCTGACTCGGGCTTCTCTTGGCTTCCCGTCGCTGGGAGCCCTGTGAAGTGAGAGGAATCACCTCTGAAGGAAAAGGAACTAGAAATGCCACGGAGACGAAGGGGCACAGGGCAGAAAGTGACCGCTGTGCCATGCAGAGGCCTGGGGTGGCGGCCCTGAGTCTGCAGGTTTCTGTGGAATCCGGCTGAGAGTTGAGAACTCAAGACTATTGCTGTTTCACTAATTAAACTGCAGATTCAGCCAGAAACTGGAATTTCCCCGTGTCCCTCCAGCCTGAGCGATGCAGGGCACGAGGTTCCTGGTCGACTGCCTCTCATGAAAACCAGTGTGGGTGGCGCCCCTGGAGGGGGGCAATGCAGTGGGTCCTGGTAGAGGATGACCCTTCTAAATGCAGCCGTCCCTCATCTGACTATTATAACAACGTGAATTCACTCACTGGCTTCCTTTCCTCAGGAGGGGCCGTTGCATCAAGAAGTGCAGGGTTTTAACATTAAGCACAGAGGAGTTTTTAAAAAGAAAAGAAAAAGCAGGGACTTTGGGCCCAAGCTAATTTTACCCGCAGCTCTGCAAGCCTTGGGGGGCTGGGGGGGTGCCCCTGCCTTCCCCAGCCCCAGCTACCTGGCCGCCCAGCACCAGATGGCGGTACTCACAACTCGTTGATGAGAATGTCCGGGACCCAAATGCTGTCCGTGGGGATGGACAGCTTGGTGATGTTGTCGAAGTCCTCGGGGTTCCACTGGAGAAACTCGTCAGTCCAGTACTGGGGAAGGAGCAGGACCCGTGAGGGTGGGCGGGGTCGTCCCCAGCTCAGGCCAGCTCCACCTCTCAGGGCCAGGAGAAAGGCAGGCATCTTCTTGGGGGAATCTGGGCGTCAGTGGCACCCTAGTCACTCAGCAGCACCTGAGAGTCCCCCACCTTTGTGCCCGCGTACTTCCTACATGCAAATACCACGCAGCCTCTCCCAGGGGCGGCGTCAGGCATTGCTAACATTTTGAATCCCCCAGCCACCAGCGGAGGGATCTGAGAGGACAGCTTCTTGGTCTCGGTCTGCGCAAATGTCAATGGGGATGATAGATGCACCTCCCGGGGCAGAGATGGTTACTGTTAGGTTTTGATGGATGCATCCTCCACTCTCCTGCCGGGATTACTGACCAAACGGGTATACATATTTTCACATTCACATTCTATCTGAAGGCGTGGGGAAAAGATGGGTCAGTGGGAAGGTCTGTGAGGTATGGAATAGTCAATAGCGGGTGCTATGCTTCGGAAGTTAATAGACTGTATTATCACTGAAAACTGTACGAAATAATGTAAACTAAATACAAGCATGACTAGATGAAAATAAGAATGTGCCTTTCAAATCACGAGGGGAAAAACAAAGAGAACATACATTGAAAAGGTTGTAAAATGGAATAGAATGGATAATCCCAATTTTACAGAACCATGAAATGTAAATTCTGTGATGTCACTTGCCCGCTTAAAATTCTTCAGCAGCGTCTCATTGGCAGTAAGATAAAGTTAAACCTCGAGGTCAACAAAGGCCTACGTAATCTGCCTCCACCTACCTTCCTAGTCTCAGGTTTTGTTGTCGTTGGTTTGTTTGTGTTGGCCATGCCTCTCTGTGGAGTCTACACCTGGAATGATCCCTGTTGGAACCTCCACATCTCTCCGTACCCTGCTCCTTCTCCCATATGGCAGTCTGTCTTCTTGATCAAGGTGAGTCTTACTCATCCTTCTAGACTTAACCAAGGCACCTGCCTAGTCCATGCTCCAAGGACCTCTGGGAACCCTGTCCCCTGGCGGGTTTCACGTGCCTCTTCTGTGCTTTCATGGCTGACATCTTGCCTGCTGTGTTGGTTGCATGGAATTGTCTGCTCACATGTGTGTGGTCTGCACCAGCCTGTGAGCTCACTGTGGGCAGGGCCTGAGTCTAGTTTGTGTCTCTAATTTCAGTCCCTTAGCACGTAGTAGACTGGCATGCCCTCACTGCTGGGGCAGACAAGTGACCCTAGAGGTGCAGAGGTGGGAGCTGGCCATGGTGACCCAGGAGAGAGCTCCAGGAAGCCCACCGGGTCCCTTCCCTGAGGCAGTGTGTGTTCTGCACTTAGGGATCTCGCGGAGGCAGAAAGGGGGCAGTACCACAGGAGCCAGCATTTGGCTTCTTCCTCTACCCCACTTCCTGTCCCCGAGCTGGCTGTGGTGGGGTGCTCACGAATAGTGGGAGAGATTTAACAGAGATCCACGTTGCTAGGCGTGTCCCCACAGTCTCTCAGGCTTGACCTCAACATCTGTCCTCATGTCCCTGCCCCCTTCTCTTCAGCCACGTTGTTGGCTTTCCCTCTGTTCTGACACCTTCTCCAGGTGCCTGGGGCCCCGGGGCTACCAGCTTAGGACACACGGTGGACAGAAGCCTCCCCTGTTTGCCTGCCCTCCCCCACCAGCTCTGAGCCAGAACTGCTGCTGGGGCCTCAGAGACCCCACACGCCAGCGCCTGACCAATGCCCGCCGGAAGCTGGAAGAGGTGGGCAATAGCCACAGGGTGAAGTCTGTTTCAATCACCCAGTTTGCTTGTTGTTCAATTTGGCTTAATAGGAAGAAGACTCAAGAGCCATTTGAGCTGCGTGAGAGGGAAGGCTGCCCCTGAGCTCCCAGGCACTGGAGGTGTTCGATTGAGAGGTGGGGCACACACTTGCTGGGGGTTCATGGAGAACTTCAGGACCCAGCGCAGGTCCAGAGGACTTCCCCCACCGAGCCTTCCGTCCCCTCCATCCCCAGCCCCGAGCGAGGGGAGTCCAGGCTTCTGCATCTCAGGTCCCTGACTTCCAGGTGGCGAGTCCCTCCTTGGGGGGGGGAGGAAGGC